AGAGTATCGAAGGAGAAAACATGTTGCACCGACCCCAGGTGACTGGGAGAAGGGCAGGATAATGATGATATGATAAGGCAATTGTGCATTAGAATACGACAAATTGTGAAGGATTTACTTAGCATTAACGGCTTTCATTTAATTACGGAAAGACCGTGATATATAAACATATACAAGCAGGTGACAATGTACCTGTGTTGCTACCATTTGAAGGAATAAACCCTTCAAGTATTCAAAGCATTCCAGAAACAAAAATTATTTCAATTCCGATTGTACTAAAGTATATATATTATATATCTTCAAAGGAATAGCTTTTTTTTTTAATTTTCGCATTAATATAGACCACTTGGCTGCAATGTGGTCTATGCGAACGTAACTTAGAGGGTTAATAATTATAGAAATCAAATACAGATTTAGTATTACTAGAAGTTCCGCAGTAGTCGAAATTCGACTATAATTAATTGGAATTGTAAGTTTGTACACTATTATGATTGTATTTTATACTTCTATAATCACAAATTTCGCCAAGGCTACACTATAAAAAATATTAACAAAGACAAAGAATATTTAATCTGTTCTCAATTTGACAATATACGTCAAGATCAAAAGTTTGACAATAAATAGTATGCATGCGTGGGTGCGTCAAATACATGGTATGTAGTGTGTGTAATGTTTTCTTTATTAATTTAATGTACCTTTTATGCATTATTTAAAAAAAATATTAGCATTGTGCACTTCTTCTCTATATTCTCTATAAGTGTGCAAAATTTCATACTCCTCCGTCCGCGCAATTTTCATAAAAAGGGATACAAAGTTTTTGCTTCACGTATTAATATAATAGATTTGTATGACGGAACTACAAATGCTATTTCAATTTAAAGTGAAAAATCATTACGCGAAGTAGTAATAGTCTTTTGTGTAAAACAATTATTGAACCAAGTGCGTATGAAAGATCAATAAATGAATGTAAGATGTAAGTAGATAGTGAAAGTTTAACAGTTTATTCCTTCTCGTATTTGTAATGATTGTATAAAAATAGAGTATCTATCTATTGGATATTAAATGTTTTTATAACAGATTAAGAAAATCACCTATTTTAATTAGTTTTTATAGTGAATAACTACTAAGCCAACATTATAATTTCTATTTTAAGTCTTCTTCATGGAAGGATGGAGAAAATTCAAAGTACAATGGAAATAAATTGTTAATCTGCAAATGCCAGTGTTTGTGAACAGATTTAACATTTAACTAGAGAAAAGTGCGATACCAGTGAGTACAGCTACATTGCTATTGGGTCGGTCAATATGAGTCACCGGTATTTGAAATAAACAAAAAAAAAAGAAATACCGCTTGCCTCAAAATGGACTATAACATATACTCCGTGTATTTTTGGTCTATTAGCCGTTTCACATAATTTAAGTCATGCGCCCGTTTACTATAAATACCTTTCAAAAAACTCCAGAGCGCTAATGTCACTCGTATATTTTTGACAACAGTATTTTTCCAAAGCTCTTATTTCACCAAGAACTCTACACATACATAAGAGGAAAATGCCTTATTCACACTTAGAAAACGGAGCCAATGTAATTCTTAGATTAACGGAGGACATGTTTCTTGCATTGGTTTGTAAGGCGAAACCAGGATAGCCCATAACCCTCATTCTTGAAATTGTCCCATTAAGAACAAGCAGCACCCGTTAGTGATTATCTAAATTTGAGCTTACTGAGGCGAGTAAGAAAAAAATTGGTGGAAAACCTTCTTATATGTTCTCTGCCGCCCAATATATTATAAGAATAGGCTATTGCTTCTTGTCTGTAGAATCAATCAGTAGTTATTACAAATGCTATAGAAATGTGACGTCATGATATGTTAGCATCCTCCAGTAATCATACATTACCAAATAGGTCGTGAACTACTGACAAGCCGCAGTATGTACTGTATGTACCGTGTACAATATAGGGAGAATTCTTATTCTATTAAGAATTAATCCGTTTCGGGGAATAATACGATCGAAATTCGAAGCCAAACTAACGAAAGCAGTTCTATGATTGTTCCATAGAAATTCCTTATTTCCATTCCTTAGAAATATGCGTGGCATATTATTATGTTGTTTACAGATTTCTAATAATGTTGACGATCTTCCAATAACTCTAAAGTAAACGGGCGGTTTCTATTCTGATTCAAAACATAGCTCAGTGTTCAATCATCCAAGTGTTGATGATGGATGATCACATTCAATCCACTCACAATGATATTTTCTCCAAAATAATATAAATAATATTAGGTTCCGTGAATATTATACTATTATTATAATTACACTAGCCGTACTCGTCCGCTTCACTGGGCATTTAAAATTAACATTATTATTTCTCATCCCCACCAAGATTCTCATCATTAACGCCCCCGCAACTGGTGTAGGGAGTCCAACACTCATATAAATATTAGCCTATCCATTAAGTACATGTATTTTCTACATGGATACCAAGTTTCAAGTCAATCGCATGCATGGTTCAGTAATTATAACGGAACATCCGTGAACACCACTGTAGATTTATATATTAGTACTAGCTGACCCGGCAGACTTCATAGTGCCTCAATCGATAAATAAAAGACCACCGTTGGTCTTTTGGAGACACATCAAAGGGAAAACAATATTTTTATTTTTATTTAATTCCGAGCATTTTTATATTTTTCTACCTTTTAAACCTTCTCTGGACTTCCACAAATAATTCAAGACCAAAATTAGCCAAATCGGTTCAGCCGTTCTCGAGTTTTAGCGAGATTAACGAACAGCAATTCATGTTTATATATAGAGATAATATATAGATAGAGTATAGGTTTTCAAGATTCAAAACAAGTATGTCAAGTATCGCTTACAGTGTTGCGGAATAATACCTACATTAAACTACCTTTTTTTTCCATCAATTTGCCTGTAGCCTAGGGGGCCATTCTAGCTACGCCCAGACGGGTAGGTGACCTCACAGGCACGACCTAAGAAAATTTTCTAACGCTAGCCCTAGCAAGAGCAGGGCTTCGCAGAATTTACTACTGGATTGGAATCGTGATTTACTGAGAAGATCCGGCGTGAAACTCAGTGGAATGTGTCTATGGGCTAGTTCGCCCGTCAAACTCTTCATCGTTATCGACTGGTGGTAGAACCTCTTGTGAATCCGCACGGGTAGGTACCGCCACCCTGCCTGTTTCTGCCGTGAAACAGTAATGCGTTTCGGTTTGTAGGGTGCGGCAACCGTTGTACTGTAAAAACTGAGACTTACAAGTGACTTCAAAAAGGTGGGTGGCGGCATTTATGTTGTTGATGTCTATGAGCTCAGTTGAACACTTAACGCCGGGTAGCCGTGAGCTCATCCACACACGAAAGCAATTTAATACAATTGTGCCGTATAGCGTCTTCAAATATGTAGTATTTTGATCATTTATTCTAAAATAACGTAGTAATTCCACCATTCCGATATAGAACAGATACTGAACGTGTATGACCTCTAGCGTTCTCTATAAGCTCAATTAGGAGTATATGCTTATTTATTATACCATATAAAAATATGACGTAACCTTTATGTAGGGAGGGTATTAGCAGAGAGCCCGCAATATTTGTTACCGCTAATCTATTTTGGAACCATCAGTTAGATAATACAGACTACAATAATAATTGTTCGATTTTAAAATATAAATCAAGATATTCAATAAAGCACATCACACATTAATTGGTTCTATCGTGATCTTTTACAATGATAGATGGATATAATCGAAATAATTTACTTGTCGAGCCCTTCGCCGCAAGCGACGGTTTCGACGAGAATGATGATTAGTGCTTGGAGTGCCTAAAAGCACCGTTAGTGGATCTGCAGTATCCCAAATGACGTGTTTTAGGCGACGTCGACTGTTTAACCCCCCCCCCCTCCCCCTCGTAGGCCCCTCAGGCCGACTCGCGGCGTTCGATGATGACGAAAAATCAGAGCTGCTGGCCGATACATTGCAAACCCAGTGCACGCCCAGCACTCAATCCGTGGACCCTGTTCATGTACAATTAGTAGACAGTGAGGTAGAACGCAGAGCCTCCTTGCCACCCTCGGATGCGTTACCGCCCGTCACCCCGATGGAAGTTAAAGACTTGATCAAAGACCTACGTCCTCGCAAGGCTCCCGGTTCCGACGGTATATCCAACCGCGTTATTAAACTTCTACCCGTCCAACTCATCGTGATGTTGGCATCTATTTTCAATGCCGCTATGGCGAACTGTATCTTTCCCGCGGTGAGGAAAGAAGCGGACGTTATCGGCATACATAAACCCGGTAAACCAAAAAATCATCCGACGAGCTACCGNTATAATTTACTGGTGGTAGGACCTCTTGTGAGTCCGCACGGGTAGGTACCACCACCCTGCCTATTTCTGCCGTGAAGCAGTAATGCGTTTCGGTTTGAAGGGTGGGGCAGCCGTTGTAACTATAATTGAGACCTTAGAACTTATATCTCAAGGTGGGTGGCGCATTTACGTTGTAGATGTCTATGGGCTCCAGTAACCACTTAACACCAGGTGGGCTGTGAGCTCGTCCACTCATATAAGCAATAAAAAAAAAAAAAAAAAATAACGTTTATACTAGGTTTTTCCGGTTAATTATTCACAAAAACGAAAATAAAATACCTTTTTTTGGTATAAAGTTTGCTTTGTGATAGTTATAGTAATAATACCTACTCATTTTTCATTTTTTTTATAAATTTTAATTAATTTTAATACTTTCAAAAAAACCGCGCTATGAGACTGGGGTGTTTATTTACGTTTACACAGTGCCACTAGATGACACTCGAGTCTATATGATGCTGATGCATTTTGTTTCATATGTGGTCAATTTATTAAAGTTGAAACTGTTTCATGCCATGTTTTTTTTTTCGTCTAATTACGATCTAAATAAAATATGGAAATTTTATGCTTTGCAATCAATGTCAAATTTGGTGTTGACTCGTGTTATTATTATTATTATTATTCACGTTTTTATGTACCTGATTTGCACGAAGAGTATACCGTTGATGAGGTTGAGCATGTCGATGACGGAGGCCATGCCGGGCGGCTGGATGTGCAGCGGCGCGTGGTGCGCGTGGTGCGGGGCGCGCGCGTACGCCTCCGCCAGCCGCTTCTGCAGCACCACCGCCTGCTGCGTCAGGTGACGGAGACACTCCGACGACTCGCGCGTCTTCTCGTGCTTCTCGCCCAACTGCATAACACGGCATGATGTTAACTCAGCGACGCTACTCTAGGCGGACGTGCCTTGCACAACACGGCATGATGTTAAGTCAGCGGCGCAACCGACGTACCTCGAAAGTCATTCCTACACCCGGTTTGAAATGTACAAAAACCAATAGCAAAACAATCTACAGATATCCGTGGTTATGTATCAGAAATGCCGAAAGCACAATCCGATGCGAACCGCTAAGAACTTTTCTAATTTATTTTGAAGATGAACGTGCTTTATAAATCTACAGTGGTGTTTTACGGATGTTCCATTATAACTACTAAACCATGCATCCGATTCACTTGACACTTGGTATCCATATAGAAAATACATGTAATTAATTGATACGCTAATATTTATACGTGTGTTGGACTCTCTAATAATAATGACAATATACAATAATGTTAAATTTAAATGCCCAGCGAAGCGGGCGTGTACGGCTAGTACATTTATACATGTGGAGATTGCAATATGATGGTTTATTGTACCTCATATTGTTTTAATCGTTTTCAATATGTATATATGTATCTGTATTTAACATTATACCAAATGCCAGATATAGAGTGCTCTAATATTTTGGTCATATAGCAAGACAATCCTCTGACAACCTGAAGAGACTCAGATGACAGTTAAAGTGGATGGAAGACGATCCAGAGGTCGGAGCCGAAAAAGATGGAGTGACCAAGTGTCCGAGTATCTGGACACAAAATTGAGCCACGCATTTCATTGTGCTACTGACCGATATAAGTGGCTACAAATTACTGGTGGTAGGACCACTTGCGAGTCCGCGCGGGTAGGTACCACTACCCTACCTATTTCTGCCGTGAAGCAGTAATGCATTTCGGTTTGTATATACTTGAGACCTTAGAACTTATATCTCAGGGTGGGTTTACATAGGGCCCATTGACATTTACGTTGTAGAAGTCTACGGGCTCCAGTAATCACTTAACACCAGGTAGGCTGTGAGCTCGTCAAACCATCTAAGCAATAAAACAAAATTATAATTGGCGCACTACTAAAAATAATAGTATAATCAAGAAGCTTAAAGCAAAATATTATTGATGCTCAGCACACACAGGATATAAGTGAGTCAAACAAAAGTCAGTCAGTCACCAGATGCTTATAGATGGAGTAGGTCTCCTTCTCGTGCGCGAGCGCCGCCCGGAAGTCGCCGAGGCAGGAGAGCGTGCGCGCGAGCAGATGGCGCGCCACCGCCGCCTTCAGCGAGCGCGGCCCGTGCGTGCCGCTCGTCACCGCCAGCCCGCGCTCCGCGAACCGCAGCGACAGCTCGTACTCGCCGACCGCGTGCAGGATCAGCGCGATGTTGCTCTGTTGCGGCAGGACAACACAATCAACAGCTATCAAAACCCAATCATTTTAAACCAGAGGTTCCCAAACTTATTTATTTATACTTTATGCACAAAACAAAAGTTGTACACAGGCGGACTTAATGCCATGGGCATTCTCTTCCATTCGACCACAGGGTGGTGCAGAGATAATGCATGGTAGGTGCATTAAAAAAGAATAACAAACAACAATTTTGTCTAGTGTACTATTACTGTACTACTACTTTATTTGATATGTATTTCTTATATATGTATATTTGTATGTATCTATGTATTTGTTTTGGCAATGTAATTTATAAACTAGTGTTCATTTTACTCATGTCTACTGTAATTCTTTAAATTATCGCCATGTATTTACTTCATCACAGCTACGCAATTCTTGAATCTTTCACTTCATCAACGAGGGTTTACTGGAAGAGAATGTCTACATGGCGTTAAGTTCGCCTTTGTACACTGTTTTGTGCAATAAAGAATTTTCATTCATTCATTCATTCATTCATTCATTCATTCATACTGCCTGCCCGCTTTGAGAATGAATTATTTTCTAACGCCCCCATTTTTTCACCTATTAAAAACCACTATAGTGAGAGCTCAGTCGGTGTCTAAGAGTCTTCCTAGATTAAAAAACAAATCGCCTCCCAAATCTCTACACAACACCCCCATTTTTTTTTCGGGGTCTCTTACCGCCCAGCTTTAGGCGTGCAGCCAACAAGGGGGCCTTATCGCCCACTTTGGGAAAGGCTGTTTTAAAAGAACCTAAGCATTTCACTATTTTACAAAACAATTATAATTAGTTTTCTTTTAGAACAAACAAACTTGTTTTTTTATTGCTAACATGAGACTTATTGAGGTACCTGGTAGTAATTAATAAGAGTTAATAACTAATGTTCATTATGTGAGCTGATTGGAACTAATAAATTGTTCACAATAAAATTATATTCTACAATAATAGATTATTTTGTACAATTTGAGTAAAAATTTAAATATAATAGCTACGAACGTCAGAATAACCGCTCTGTTCACAATTATGATCAAAATAACTTTTTTTATAATTAATTATATAAATTTTAAAAAAGGTAGACTTACGTCGAGCAGCGCCATCTCTGGGTGGTTTTCGCCGCAAACGATCAATGCCAAGTAGCGGGCTCGATACAGTAGCTTCAATGCGGTGCTCACTTGACCGTTGGCAAAGCAGTACAACGCCAAATGTGACTAGAACAAAACATAAAGAATTAGTCTTCTAAGCAATTTAAATTATTGTTTTTAATCTGTTACAACATACAGCTTATTCTATGATACACGAATCATGGACATAACCGAAAACTGCTCAAAGATTAACCTTTTTTATTTATTGTCATTGTCAGCAGATGTGTGAGCCTAACGTAGCAGTAACAATCGCTCATGGACGAAGAAATTGAATGAAAATATCCAAATTTAATCACGTCTTTTCAACCATTTCAAAAAAATCCTTCCATTGCCATTGTCCAGCATTAAAATATAACAAAACAATAATATATTCAATGTCATATTTGAAGGCGGGTGCCAATATTCAAATTTTATGCAGGCATAGGCAGATTTGAAAAATATAGTGCTACATACACTTTCATATTGATTAGGAAATCGTGTTTAGTAAGTTGAAGTCAAAAGTTATTGGGAACGAACACATGGTTTACGTTTTAGTGATGTTCGAAATACACGGAATATTTTTTTAAGGGATTTTATGACTTGGTAACAGAGACATTTAGGTGATATCTTATTTTAATTTATATTCTAATATTTATGAAAAATGATAACATAAAGTGAAATTAAATGAAGTGAGATGAGCTGATACGGGATGAATATAATTTCAGTAAAATGGTGGTCATTTACTGAGACTTTTTCAGTGGACTTTTTTTAGGATCCCGAGAAGTTACGTCCAACGGCTTTGTTTTATTTTCCCACATTTGTGCACTTTCACAGATACTAAATAGTTAATAAACCACCGTTATTACACATTTAAACCTGAAGCAACACTAAATAGACAAAATAAAACAAATCACACAACTTCACTCCTCGCGTTCCCGCCAAAATGTCAAATACACGGAATACGTACATATTCTGTAATGGTGTAAGGGTGATCAATGCCGTTGACCCTCTCGGACATAAGCACCGCCTTCTGCTGGTAGGCCATGGCATCCCGGTGCTCGCCGGTGACGTAGCACAGGCGCGCCACCATGCGGAGGCACTGCGCGATCTCGCCGTGCATGGCGCCGTACACGTTGTTCAGCAAGTTCAGAGCTTCGGCGATCAGTTCGTGACCTTCGGACACGGCGCCGGCTTGGATTTTGTTCTGACCCGTCGTGTAGAAATTGTACGCGTCTGAAGCCTGAAACGAATTATCAAACCCGCAAAATTATAATTTGCGTAATTACTGGTGGTAAGACCTCTTGTGAGTCCGCACGGGTAGATACCACCGCCCTGCCTATCTCTGCCGTGAAGCAGTAATGCGTTTCGGTTTGAAAGGTGGGGCAGCCGTTGTAACTATATTTGAGACCTTAGAACTTATATCTCACGGTGGGTGGCTCATTTACGTCGTGGATGTCTATGGGCTCCAGTAACCACTTAACACCAAGTGGGCTGTGAGCTCATGTACCCATCTAAGCAATAAAAAAAAATAAAAAAAAAACGAAAAAACATTGCCTCGTTTTTATTCTAGTCTGAATTTACTCATGGTAGGACGTCTTGTGAGTCCGCACGGGTAGGTACTACCACCCCGCCTTTTCTGCCGTGAAGCAGTAATGCCTTTCGATTTGAAGGGATAGACAGCCGTTGTACTGTTAAAACTGAGGCCTTAGAAATCTTATCTTAAGGTGGACGGCGGTTTACTCTCCTTTGATCTCCGGTAAGCACTTAATACCAGGTGGGCCGTGAGCTAGTCCATCCATTTAAGCAATAAAAAAATTATAGCACAATCTTCACTACACTTTCTACTTACGCGTGGATTGATATGTTTAACGACGGGGAAAATATTCATAATGTCCGCACTTGCAAACGGTGCCTTGTTTTTATTGTCAAAGTCGTATTCTCTTAACATAACTTGCAAGCCTACTTTTAGTGCGAAGGACCTGAAACAAATCGGTAATGAGAATGAATAAAGGTCGATAGATTATTATTTTCTTTATACTTATCACGAAGGAATCTTAATTACCTGAGAAGTGATATTTTCTGGATACTGTGTTTTTCGATTATAGATTCCATGTTCTCGGCATTAAGATCATATCCCCAGTACGCCTGAAATTTGCATAATTTAAAAAAATATAACATGAGATCTGACAAAGGCCAAAGTTATAGTTCCAAAATATGATTTTCAATTAAAGGACAATGCCCAAAAGTGGGCCAACTTTATGTCTAAACTATTTGTACTTGAAAAACTATGCCTTATTTTTTCACGTTGTTTAGTTTATGTATCAACATTTCTTTCAACCTGGCATTGTTTTACAAAAAAATAAATTACTTATTTGATAACATCCCAAAACTGAGTGCCATAGTTTTTAAATTCGCCAATAGGCAAAGGGCTTAGCCCATAAAGCCTTATAGTAAACCTTTAAGCTGCCAAACGAAAGAGTTGTCTGTGACTTGAATAACAAATAAAAAAAAATTGCTAATGGTTATAATTCAGACTTTTTAGTTTATTTTTGTTCAATTCAATATTTATATATTGTAATAATAATTATTACTTAAAACTATGAATTATTTATTTTTTTTAGATATTAATGATTCCATTAGTAAAAATCTCAATGGCCTACCATTACTCTATTCTTATTATATATGATCAGAGAGTTTTGGTAGCAACCCGAGTGAAGCGTCACTTGAAGTTTTATTTTAATGTTTTTTTAATAGTTTATTGTGATGTATAATATATAAATTGGGTGTTGTTTTGTGTATTAAAGGTCAATAATCGTTGTTCACGATTATTGAAGCATTGGAATAAATGTGTGGCTAACATAGCAGTGACTGTTTTTTTTTTATCAAGATAAAAGTTCTGCGGAAATTCACGCTCACTCAATGTGCTATTCATCGAGTTGACGTCAAAACTCCCAAAAAGCAATAAAAAGAGATACACCAGCTTTTTATTGAAAAAAAAATATTTATAACTACGACAGACTAGGCTGTATAGGCTACGCTCTTTGCCTGCTTATTGGCGAATTTAAAAACAATAACAACAATATCGTTGCCGGCTTCCGGATTTCCATTTCATTTTATTGTTATTATGAGGATATAATAATAATAAAATGTACGTAAGGGCTTATTTCTAGCAACATTAACCACAATTAACTTATTTAATACTGTAAATAATGATGAGAGCGATTATTGATTTCGAAGAAAACAATTAACAACTTAATTTTAGCTGCAGAAAAAAACAGATTTCTCTTAAACCTGGGTGAGAATATAAAAATCGTTTTCTGAATATGAAACGATATTTCTTTGTCTATCAAATTAAGTTAAAACCATCATGACCCGACAACTTTTTTTAGGGGCCCAAACGCCCTAAGAAAATGGGCATTGTCCTTTGATAGTAAATCAAAAACATGAAATTAGTCAATTAAGATTTTAAGAAAATGAATCGAAACATAATCGACCTAGCATAATTTATTATAACACCGATAAAATTTCGAATATTGGTGGCAGTTGTTTTTAATTTTAATTCAATTTATTATAATAATATTATCATTTTACGAGACTTCATAATGAATACTGAATTACTAAAAAACATATCCAATTCATGTCAATTTAAGCTTAAAAACTACATAGTAGTTGATAATAAGCGTTTTGTGGTGCATCCTAGAAGTAAAATTTTAACCAACGTGGAAAGGTGTGCGTTTTTAATTTTGGAACATGAAACATAAAGGAATATGCAATCCATGCCCAACGTATCGACTATACTTTATGAAACACAGAAAACTAATAAGGGCATTGAAACGCAACCACCCATATACGCAATAAAAAAAAACATAGACAAAGAATACCCCACCTTCAACTCTTGTTTAATCTGAGCGAAGAGCGATTTGGGCGTGAGGTTCTGCCAGTCGGGGAGCGGCGAGGCGGCGGGCTGCGAGTGCGCGTGCTTGCGGGAGCGGCGCCCGCGACCCCCGCGCCCCGCGCCCCGACCCCCCGCCACGCCCTCCGCCGGACTAATGCCAGGCGTCGGACACGCCCCCAACAAACAGTTCAAGAAATGCGCTACAGCTGTACCGATGCACATCGGCTCGCAACCCTGTTCGAAAAAAATGTTCACTTTAAATTCCCAGTTTTCTCAAGTCAATGAACGTACTTACAATTAGAAACATACTTTTAAAAACTTCTCAATATATTGGCCCATGAAGAGGACACTTTCAGATGGACAGAAACAATATTTAAAAAACTAAGCGCATTTCAACAACAGCATTCGAATTCTAATATTTGTCCAGCCAAAATAATTTTTCGCATTTTGTTTCTGTTATAAAATAAACGTTGTATATGACAGGTCATCGTTCTCGTCGAACCCGTCGCTTGCGACGAAAGGCTCGGCGAGTAAATTAATCCACAGACACAGCCCACTAAGTTTCTCGACGGATCTTCTCAATGGGTAACGTTTCCGAACTGGTGGTAAATTCTGCGAAGCACGGCTCTTGCTAGGGTTCGTGCTAGCAACGTCAGATTTGAGCTCACCTACTCACCCGGTGACGCTGATATGGTCTCTCGAGACCATCAGCTTAGGTTGGAAAAAAAAGTTCCATATGCGAGATTAAATCGTAGTTTTTTTTACAATATACTTTATAGTTCGAATAAAAAATTTTTCATTTCACAATTATTTATTTCAACGTTCAGACAAATAAAAACAGAAATTTTAACTTGCACAAAAATAAAACTTAAAAATGAGATCGCGTGATATTGAGACTTGGCGACCGAGTTGAAATTGCACATGCGTTCGTCGTTAGATCGTGGCTCGACTGGTCGCTGTGACCGAGCGCAAGCGATTTTATCTTTGGGGGTTCGACCACATTTTTGAAATGAGCGGCCTTTTTTTTTATTACCCTTGTAGGCAGACGAGCATACGGCCCATCTGATGGTGAGTGGTTACCGTCACCCATGGCCTTCAGCAATGCCAGGCGCAGAGCCAAGCCGCTGCTTACCGAGCCAAGCCGCTGCCTACTGGTCTCAGTGTCGTAGGTACCTGCAAGTAGGCCGTGTAGAGATGCTTGGCGGCGCGCAGCAGCAGATCGGCGAGCGCGATGGCGTGCAGGTAGGCGAGCGAGGGGTGCGCGGCCAAGGCCAGCGCTACGCGGCCCAGGTACCGCACGTTGATACCGCGCGCGTGCAGTGCCTCCGTCAGCCCCGCGCCGTCCATCGGCGCCACGCTCTGCTCCACGCACTCCCGCACCTGCACGCACACGCACACGTCACTGTACCTCCTCCCGGTATTAAGCTACCGTAGATTGGAGGGAATAGGGATTAGGGGTAGAATAGGGTTGTCACAATGCTTTTGTGTGATTTAAATTTGTTGAATTGAAAAGGACTTTTATTTAATGGTTATGAATATTAAATAATTCAATTTAGTCATCAGAGTTTTGTAACTGATTAAAGATATTGAGAAGTTAATTACCTAAAGGTAGGCAAGGTAGGTAAGGTAGGTACCTAAAGGTAAGATAAGTAATAAATAACTAACAATTAAACAATGCCAGCCCTATCGATAAACTCTATTGTCTATTTATTTGATGTTAGTATTTTCAAGCAAGATGGAATCACGACTTGTTGGCGGGAACATGAGGGGTGAAGTTGTGCGATTTGTTTTATTTTGTCTATTTAGTGTTTCTTCGGGTTTAAATGTGTAATAACGGTGGTTTATTAACTGTTTAGTATCTGTGAAAGTGCACAAATGTGGGCAAATGAAACAAAGCCGCTAAACGTAGCTTCTCGGGATCCTCCAAAAAGTCCACTGAAAAGTCTCGGTAAATGGCCACCATTTTACTGAGATTATATTTCATCCTATATCATCTCATCTCATTTCATGATAATTGATTAAGTTTCCTTCGTTTTTTAGTATTCATAAACTGTAATTAATTAAAACGGCGAATTATAAAAATCTTATTACTCAACGCTGGCTAATGTACAAACCGTGCCGGAGCCAAAAACTATAGAAGAAGAAGATGGAATCACTTTTATTAATTCGTATGCGTATTGCGTATGGCCGGCCAGTGCGAGTGCCGTATGAAGCCGGGCGACTTACGAAGGCCGGGATCTGCGTGGTGAGCAGGAAGGCGGCCGCTTCCTTGACGAGGTGCCGTTGCTTGGCGAGGTGCTCGGGCGCGGCGGCGTGCTTGATGCCGGCGGAGTACACGTCCGGGTTGAAGCGCACGTCGAACTCCGACTCCTTGAGCGAGGCCACCGCGCGCGCCGCCGCCGCCACCACTGCGCGGGAACGCTCGCCCGCTGGTTACGTGTGTACGTGTTGTAGCGAAACGACAGTGCGCACAGAACGACGGACCACGAGCTTTACGAACGCTTTTCTCAATACACGAATTACAAAATAGTACATTGTGCACCAAGAGAGAAAAGTTGGACATTTCCTCCCGCGTGTAAAATGGCAAACACGCGGGATGAGATGTCCTACTTTTTTCCCGCGGTGCACATACTATTTTTTCTCCTACCAGGCCGAAAGTTCAACATTTTAAAAAACTTAGCACCCGTGGAGTACCGAGCCGGGGTCCAGGGACGAAGCCCTGGCGGGGGCTTAGGAGGAGCGGAGCCCCCCACTCATAAAAAAAAACAATTTAACTGTTTTTTTATTTTTAAATAAACTACATACTACTAATTGAATAAGAACTGTCTGATGAACTCATCTTTGTTTAATACTTCACTATTAAATTTTATTGCCTTTTGTTTATTTCACTTTTACACTAAATACAGCACCGCAAATTACCCGAGCATAACAATGGCGGAGAATTTTAGGTGCGTGAGAGCAGACGTAGACAATAACGCGCATGCGCACTCATCAGTACCCAGGCAGGTAAAGTTACACTTTCTTCCTTGTACAGCGAGACGAAAACCGAACTTTCGGCGTCGGTAGGAGAAAAAAATATATATTCTGCTCAATTATATTCCACTCGACATGCAATAAAAAGAATTGTGTGTAAATTTTAGTTTCATTGGTAGAATGGAGCTAATTTGAAATTTTATATAGCCCGCGACCACTCTAAAGGTATAGTAAAATAAAATCTTATTATAATTGATTCCTATTATTGATTAGGCTAAAAAATTCACGACTGATCCGACCCTTTTTCGCGTTGAAGGTACGAAAGCTCATGATTCGACGTTTTACTCACCGGTAACATAAAATAAAGTAACTTTTTTTTATTTTTTGTTTTTTAAATATTACGCCTTTTAAACATTATAATCAAATAAATAAATAAAAAATACAAGCATATTTGCATTATACTACAACTTTAATAAAACTGTTTCTACTCACAGTCATTCTCCTGTTTCTCTCCGCTGCAAATTGAGTCCGTAATGCTTTCAACAATTTTCTTGGCAACATCCGTGTCTATTTCTGAATAGTTATCGTTCAACAATAATTCATCATCTTTCCCTTTCTCAATCTTAACATCATTTAATTCAATTTCTTTCTTACTTTCTTCTTTTTTAACACTACTAGATTCATCCTTTTTCTTTTTATCTTTGGTCTCTTTCTCTTGGCTTTTATTGTCTCTCTTCTTCTTCTCTGCGTCTGTATTATCTTTCTTTTCGCTTTCCTTGTTCGGTTCGATTGACTTCTGATCATCATTCTGATCGCGCTGACGCTTCGCGCTTAACTGTTGCAAGTGGAACGCGGCGTAGCGAATGAACATGAAATAACGAGCCCTAAAAAGAATAAAGTTACAGAAATTTACATTTGAACAATTTGAACATTTTTATTACATCAATAGGATTATTTCGCTTAAGCACAATAAACAAGCTAGCCGTTACCGCCAATAATTTAATTACGCTAATAGTAATTTCATTGGTGGTAGGACCTCTTGTGAGTCCGCGCGGGCAGGTACCACCACCCTGCCTATTTCTGCCGTGAAGCAGTAATGCGTTTCGGTTTGAAGGGTGGAGCAGCCGTTGTAACTATACTGAGACCTTTGAACTTATATCTCAAGGTGGGTGGCGCATTTACGTTGTAGATGTCTATGGGCTCCAGTAACCACTTAACACCAAGTGGGCTGTGAGCTCGCCTACCCATCTAAGCAATAAAAAAATATATAGTAATAATAAAACATCTTGGTACTTACTCAACAAAACTATCGACTAACTCCTGTCTCAAACAACATAGTTTGTGCTTGTGGATAATCGGGAAGCCCATGGATTTTATATCTTCTCTGAGTTCGTCATCTTCCACTGGAAAAATATGATCGTATTACAACATCAAAGTACAACATGAGTAATAAGACAATATGTTCATAAAATTTGGATTAACTATGCCACTTTAAAAAAAAAAAACAGTGTATATACTTACATTGTAAAAAGTTGACATCCGGTGGAAAAGTGCGCAGCAAGTCTAAAATGTAATGACGTCCGTCGTTCCCTATAATTCCCTTGCATTCAACGCTGGAGCACAACTCAACAACCTCGCCATTCGCACTGATAACTGAATGGGGCATTATCTTTAACTGCTGTCCCGCTTTGCTCAACTAAAAAAAACAAAAACAAGTTTTCTATCACATGGTGCAAAAAAACAACCCTACTTCTAATTGCTTGAACTGGTTAATTTTATCGCCGATTACTACTCTGCGTGGTCCGGGTGTATTTGCCCTCATCTCGTTTATATTTCCAGAGCTAAACCATCGGGTCGTTAGAAACTTTTATTTCTATAAAAAATTTATCGTGTTTCTGGAACCCTAGATCTACCATACAATATCCTGATAGTCCTAGTTCATAGATGAAGGCGATGTCTTCACATACAATAAGGTCGCGATGTCTATATACGACAGTACAAAAACATATTTAACGTTTATCTCTATTTCAGCTCAAATTTTGGCAAAAACAAATCTAAATAAAATTGAGACGTCAGCCTCATGTCTCAAAGTGGATGGCGACACTCGCGCTGCGATGTTTACGAGATTTCAATAATTTCAACAAAAGTCTTCGTTATAATCTTTTGCATTAACAACTTTTGTATGAAATCTCAACTAGCATCGAATAGCAAGTTCTTTAAGCTTAGAAATTCAACTCACCAGTTCCATGTACTTAGGGTGCGAGAGTACGGTCGTTCCAAAGTCGATGCTGCCGTATACAACGCTCTGTTCTTGCTCCTTCTCCAGTATTCCCGGGATGATGGACTGAGCCGTGACCCGGTACCCGCGGTAGTCCACCACCACCGTGCCCAGGGTGTGCAGCCCCGGGGTGTCTACTGCGCTGTACACTCGAACGCCTTGCAAGTCATTGCGCTGTAATATTAAAAAAAAATATTTGCGTAATGGTACTAGTATACTGGTGGTAGGACCTGTTGTGAGTCCGCGCGGGTAGAATCCACCACCCCGCCTATTTCTGCCGCGAAGCAGTAATGCATTTCGGTTTGAAGGGTGGGACAGCCGTTGTAACTATTAGAACTTATATCTCAAGGTGAGCGGCGCATTTCCGAAGTAGATGTCTATGGCTTCCAGTAACCACTTAACACCAGGTTGACTGTGAGTACGTCCACCCATCGAAGCAATAAAAAATAAATATAGTAACTAGCCGTAGTCATCATAGATATCATCATCATACTGTTGGCAGAGCAGTCGTGGTCATGTGGAATCCTTGTTCATAGTTAGTAGTGCGCGAACTGAGGCTTTGGTAAGGATTTTCATCTGATCAGCCCAGCGCCGTCGTCCACGATATCTTTTAGCATGGACCCTACTCTGAACAGCAAGTTTCTCGATAGACTCTGCTGGCCGGCGCGATATGTATCCAAAGTATTTAAAAAAACGGTAGTAATAATGACTAAATTACTGTTAAGACCATAGCTCATTTCTCTTTTCCTGAATCATACGGCCGTTCCCAAAATATAATTAGAACCGAGGGCACGCTTAGAGATCGTCAAAACACGAATAATTCATTTTTTTATTGTCAGCTTACCGGAGCAACAAAAGCCGCCGCATCTCCGCCCAAATCTTTGTAGTGATCGCGTACGTCGAAGCCCAACGAGAAGAAGATATTGTTCCAGATGAACATCTGCATCTTCGGTTCTTCCCCTGGATTGATCGCCATCACGTTACCATCGACCACAGCCATGGCTCCTCGAGTCGCGGCAGCAACGAAATCACTGTGGACCTGAGGATGTTGTTACATTTAAATCTTACATTCCCTTTTGAAACAGATAAACAAAATTAGAATTGACTATCTGATACATTCATTGCACTAATTCAATAAATTCATATAAAAAATCACATTTTTTTCAGATCTGTCAATATTGACAATCGTTTATTGCTGCTGTCACAAACAGCAACAGTTGCGCAACTAACTTCTATATATTAATACGTGAAGCAAAAACTTTGTACCCCTTTTTACGAAAATTGTGCGGATGGAGGAGTATGAAATTTCTCACACTTACAGAGAATATAGAGAAGGAGTGCAGAATGCTAATATTTTTTATAAATTATGCATTAATAACACATTAAATCAATAAAAGAAAACATTACACACACTACCATGTATTTGACACACACACTATTTAAACTCTTTGTATATTGTCAAACTTTTGTTATTGCTTAAAGTCTGTGGTCAAATTGAAAATAGGTTAATATTGTTTATCTTTAATATTATTTGTCTATAGTGTAGTTTAGGAGAACTCTGTGATTATAGAAGTTTAAGTCTTTGACAATAGAACCATAATAATGTTCAAACTTATAATTTCAAATAATCATAGGCGAATTTCGACTACTGCGGGACCACTAGTATTATATAAAACGGTCCAGTGAGATTTTCATGAATCCGTTATTAGACATTGAAAACAATTAAACAAAATTAAACAGTTATTTATATTTATTAACATTCGACGTGCGTGATGCGATGTATAAGTGTTTCTCGACGCCGTCTTAGGGTCGGAGTCGTTTGACATCAATTTATCTATATATTAATACGTGAAGCAATAACTTTGTACCCCTTTTTAAGAAAATTGCGCGGACGGAAGATTATGAAATTTTCCACACTTATAGAGAATATCGAAAAGGAGTATACAATGCTATTTTTTTTTAAATTATGCATGAAAAATACATTAAATCAATAAAAAAAACATTACACACACTACCGTGTATTTGACAACCACACGCATATATGAGTCGTCTATTATCAAAGGTGGCAATCTGTGCATTTGGACAAAAAAATGTTATTGATATGTCAATACATATTGAATGGAATATAATCGTCTCCTTCAAAGAATACGGTTCAAAACCTGCATTAAATAAAGGTTAATACTTAACCTGTTATTTATCTAAGATGTCGTTCAGAAGAGTTTTGTGACTGCCAATGGAATACAAAGTCAATAATTCGTTTTTCTGATTTACCAATAATTGTCCAAAAGCCACATTGCCGGCTTTGATAATAGTCGACTCATATACTCTTTTATTTGGGTATTGTTAAAGTCTGTGGTCAAATGGAGAATAGATTAATATGGTTTGTCTTTAATATTTTTTTGTCTATACTATAGTGTAGTTTTGGCGAAATCTGTGAATACAGAAGTATAATAAATAGTCTTTGACAATAGAACCATAATAATGTTATAATGTTGTAATGCTTATAATTTCAATTAATTATAGTCGAATTTCGACTACTACGGGACCACTAGAACAATTAAAGGGAAAGTTTATTTCACGGTAATGTCGAGACTGGTGCCCATATGTTGCATACGGTTCGCTTGATATATACAAAATCGCAATTCGTATATCACCAGATATTTTCAGACGCGTCCGCCACGAGTGCGAAGCCCGTTTAGATATCGCTAGTTTCTTCGTCTTATATTGTTTGTACCAATGTTAAAACTTTCCAGTACTATTTCGTTCTGTGTAAACAGCTGACCTGGTGCTAAAGGTTACCGGAATCTATGGCCAACTTCACGGCAGAAATATATAGTATGCCGGTATTTACCCGTGAAGGTTCCAACATGCCCTATCACCCGTAAATACAGGTTGGAAATTCCAGTAGGTTGGTTTAAGTTTTGTTTTTTTATTGAACTAGCTTACGGCCCTGGAATTAAGTAGTCAGCGAATCCCATAGACATCACAATGTGAAGGCTGCTTGGACCGTGAGACATGAGATCTTCGTTGTATAGCATAACTTCTATCCGGGTGGGATAGAAGTTATGCTATACAAAGCGAAGATATTATTTTGCGATGGAAATGGGCAGGATGGGGTGGGGTTATCTACCCTTTGTAGTCCACAAGAACATTTGCCATGGTTCCAATGGTCCTTGTGAGACCACAGTACATTTGTTTAAATTTGTTTTTAATTGTACTAAGCTTATCAGATGCTATAAATTGTCAGTCAGTTGTAGTTAATCATTACAGAGTTAAATACTTGACAATGATGTACCTTAAAAATGGCTCTTTCACGCAGAAGTCGCTCGGGTAAAGTGGACCTTGGTAACTCGCGCGTTGTCTGCAATTCCTCGTTCCAGTCTCGGGTTTGACCGGGAATGTGCTCTTCGTAGCCCAATTTCGATGAAAATGCTAAAAATAATATTCCACATCAAATACAGTAGATTGGGGGGTATAGAGACTAGAGTTAGAATAGGGACAACGCTGGGATGTCAAAATACTTTTGTTGAGTTGTTAGATTTAACTTAATATTAAATAGTTTAATTTAGTCATCAGAGTTTTGTAACTCATTAAAGATATTAAAAAGTTCATTAGGTACCTAAAGGTAAGTGCCTACCTAACAACTAAATAGTGCCAGCCCTATCAAAAAACTCTATTGTCCCCATATGTAACCTGATTCACCCCAAAGCCTAGGTGAATCGGGTCAAGCTAGTTTTTTTTCAGTTTTTGTGTATAATTTATAATTAACTATGTATAATAACAAATCGAAGACAAAAATTTAAGCCTCCTAAATCATTATGATCTCCGTTTTATTGCTAAAACTACAAAAAAATACCGATAATAATCAATGTCGAACTTAAAAGGGTCCCGATTTCCCCCATTTTACGGTACAAACATTCCATTCCCGTTTCGCTGTGTCGTGCTGTCGCGTTTAAAGCAACCTTGCATCCAATATCGAATCGAATCGATCACAGTTGACTACTATACCGACATTGAAATCGTAAAACACAAGTTTCGATTATTTCAGTTTAATGAATTATATCAATCAGGTTATTCAATGCCAGTTCAATTATATCCAATTATATATTTTCCTTCCCTTTATTCTTACACTAGTTGTACCCGTTCGCTTCGCTGGGCATTTAAAATTAACATTATTATTTCTCACCCCCACAAAGATTCTCATCATTTTTTTTTATTGCCCTTGTAGGCAGACGAGCATACGGCCCACCTGATGGTGAGTGGTTACCGTCGCTCATGGACTTCAGCAATGCCAGGGGCAGAGCCAAGCCGCTGCCTACTAACACTCCCGCAACTGGTGTTGGGAGTCCAACACTCATATAAATATTAGCCTATCCATTAAATACATGTATTTTCTACATGGATACAAAGTTTCAAGTCAATCGGATGCATGGTTCAGTAGTTATAACGGAACATCCGTAAAACCACACCACTGTAGATTTATATATTAGTATAGGGTATAGATTAAGACCGACATACGGTACGACTATTTTGACATTTTTTCTAAATTAGAAAAAAATCCGAGTTCGTTGTAGATAATTTTCGAGATTGTGGCAAATAATATCCAAATTGTAATAAACTAATTTCGACTGTGATTGACAAGATCGTTATATTACAATGGTAGGCAGCGGCTTGACTGTGCCCCTAGCGTTGCTGAAGTCCAGACGGTAACCGCTCACCATCAGATGGGCCGTATGTTTTGTCTACTTACAATGGCATTAAAAAAGAACAGTAATACACATAATGAAATCGTAGTAAATAATCATTGCGAATTTCAATATGTAGTGTTTATGTCAAGTGAAGGGTCCTATATACCCCAGGATTACAACAATAACAACAGTGTTTCGTTATTAATATGGTGGACGGTAGACGAGCTCACAGCCCACCTGAGGTTAAGTGTTTACCGTCCACAAAGTAAATGCCGCCACCCGCCTTGAGATATGAGATCTAAGGTCTCAATATAGTTACAACAGCTGCCCCACCCTTCAAACCGAAACTAATTACTGCTTCACGGCAGAAATAGGCAGGGTGGTGGTACCTACCCGTGCGGACTTACAAGAGGTCCTACCACCAGTTAAATTAAATTATGAGGACATTATGTGACTGTATATACTTACTGTCTTCAGCACGGATGGCGTCAACAGTGTGATCGAGCATAGGCGAGGCCCACTGATAAACCTGGTATGGTGTGGCGACCCTCTCGAACGGATGTTTCTGCATACGCCGCTTTTGTACTAGCGCGAAGTTCCGTTTGAAGGCCGGCGACACGATGCTCAGGAGTTCAATGAGCGAGTGACAAAGTAAAGACGGATTAGCTGGTCGAGGATTGAACACTTCTTCGGTGGATCTGTAAACGTACAATGTTACACAATACATACAATTTCAAGGTCTTTTTAATTTTATAAAGTGAAACTTCTTTAGGCGCGTTGAGAGAAAAATTTAACTCGCGACAGATTCGTTACTGCTAGAGAGAAAACATACAATTTTGGAAGAGCAAGAGTGAGAAAATAGACATAGCGTCTCGCGAACCACGTAACCGTGGAGAGAAAGGACAGAGCGAGTTAGGTCGTTTCTCTTATACACAGCATTCCCTATTACAAGAGAAATTTTATTTAAGAATAAAAAACGAAGAAAACCCTAAGACTACAAACCGCAAAAGAAGTTTCACTTCTTTTAGGTGCACCTTTTAGTTGCATGCACACCATTTTTTTTTAAACTTCCCGATGCTCTAAGCTCTGCTAGCTTTTTACTTCGGTTCAAATATTCTAATAAAAAAATCTATTATATTCTCTTATTACCTTGAAAGTAACAAAGATTAATATATAACTAATAAGAAAATGAGCACTTTTATTTTAAAGAACATATATCTTACTGGTTGAGGTAGAAGCCCCTAGGGCAGGCCGTTATGTGGAAGTGCCGATCTTCAAGGGTCACCACGTGTAAATAAAGAAGATCTCCGCACATCTTCCTAGGACCAGGTGGAGGATTCCAGCCCGATGTGGTCAGTACCTAAGAACAATATTTAAAATCAATCGACGTAATTGATTTATCTATTGATCTATCAAAATAAAATGAAGATGTAAAGATAAAGGAGCCTTGAAGTAATATGTTTTCATTAATCATCGTTTTCTTATCGTTCTTGAGCAAAACAAAAAAATTATTAAATAATGACGTAAACGAAATAAGTTTTGGGATCAGCTTCAACTTAACTTTTTTTTAATGAATGACCAACGAATACACTTTAATAAAATGTAAAAACATATTCAATTTCAATTCTGCATTAAATTAATCATATTATTTATTCCCTTTCAGGATTAAGGTACACAAATAATGAAGTATAAAAATTAACTAATGTATAATAATGTCTGTTCAATTTACAATTGAAACAATAAATTATATTCTGATATTTAACTTACATCATTATGTCAGTTACTGTTAAAATAAAAACTTATATTTTAAACATGCCTTAAATATTACACAAAAAAAAAAAACATATGAATAGTAAATTTATTATAATAAACCTTCAACAGTGGATATACTTTTGAGCTAGGATCAAATTTTAAGCTGTGTAGATTCCAGTTATTACTATATTTTTTCGGTAATGTAATTATTTATTAAAAAAAAAGGTTTTCCTAATACAAGTTGAAAACCTGGACACTTGATTGAATGTCCCGCTTTTGGACAATATATTTTACTTACTTTGAGACACTGAGGAGCCTTGTTCTCTTTAGTGAGTCCGGGGTGTAGCGGCAACAGTGGACGCTCCGTGCTGGACGGCATTATGAAGTCTGGAGGAGTACAGTCCACGCTTTCTGGTCGAGATTTCTTCTTTTCTATTGTATGAATGCTTATGTAAGTAAAAATTTATATTCCCTGATACGAAATTGTTCAGCCGGTTGCACAGTTTAAGAGCCTTCATTTAATAGCGTGGTAGTAGTAATAAATAATAAAGTAATATTTTCTAGATACGCTATTTTTCCCAACACAATATTCTATTATAATAATTAAACTACAAATTTTCGACAAAGGAGCTCATAGTAGTTTAGTGTCCCAATTTTTTGTATTATTTGCAATTAATTTGATAAATACCTAAAATATCTCCTTGTGTGATGACGTTCAGAAAAGCCAATGAACTACACTCTTGACCGGCATAGGCATCAGTATAATCGATGGATTTCAGAAGATCTCTAACATGTCGAACGTGGATACGTGCTTCTCGCATTGTGTACGGCTCTTCCATCACCTATATCATGAAATAATAATAAAATTTAATATTTATAAAAGGTATAAAAAGTTTAGTTATATTTACTAATCATTTTTTACGAACCTTAATAACAGAACCTTCTTTTAGCCCTTCAATATTCTTCAATTCGGCAAAATTATCCAAAGTAACTCCATCCAGTTGCAGTGAAAAGCACGTTCGATGACATGTATCTTCTCGATCCATCAGTACTTGATGTATTTCTTGTACAAGTTCCATACTTGATACTTGTATGTCCAATGGTTCAGCTCCAGGGCTAACGATTTTAACCGTAAAACCCAAGTCTTGTATAAACACGACCTCAGCATCCCTTTTCTTTTCATCACCATCTTCACTAGGCGAGGACTCCCTATCTCTATCGCCATTAACCACTTTATTTGAATCGCTATTATTTTTTTCTATGGCATTATTTATATTAACAGTTGAACTAATGTCTTTTTTATCCTCCACTACGATTTGAGCAGTCTTCTTTTCAGCGTCATTGCACTTTTCCAAAGACCTGTTCTTCTTGTGTTCTTTCTTTTTGTCCATCACGGCCGTTTTATTTGGACATTTTGTTACTATAACAGTTTTAAGATCTTCTTCCGACTTCGTAGATTTAGTTTCTTCGGAATCACTATTATTGCCGTTTACAACTACTTTAGTATTATCACTACTTCTAGTATCACAATCTAAAACGTTTTTTGAATCGCCATTTGTTATGGTCTCAGTGCTTTTTTCCGTGCCATTTACTGCTGGCTCTTTGATAGTTAATTTAGAATTATTTATTTCGATATCGTTTGATATTGAAGCCATACCGTTGACGTTTGTTGTAGAATTTATTAATTTTTGTTGTGATTCCTTTTCAACATTGATCTTCGACTTCTGGTGTTCTGTGGAAATGAAGTGATAATTTTAATAAAGAGTGTTTAAGTGAATTGTAGCAATATAGACGAACGATATGATACAATTACAACATTTGCAATAATAAAACACAAATATTTTCTAAACCTGTATTTAGCGTAAAAGATGCAGGAGTGTTACTAGACTGAGGCGAGACTGGCTTACGAGCGGCAGCCGCGTAGGAAACACGCGGCGTGCCACTCTCGCCACCACCCTCGTCATCAGCGCGGCCGTTAAGACTGTTAGCATAACCGTTGCTGGCGGATGCCATCTTCGGGCAGACATCTTTCTTCATCTTAACTTGCTTATCTTGTTTTTCAACTGTAACAAAATGATACTTATAAGCGTTTAACAGCTTATATATTTAATATAGCTATAGATTTTCAGTGTACCTTTCAAAAATTATATATGAATTCTATTTCGATTATATACATTAGAGTGTGTTAAGCTTACCCTCATTGAAATCAATAGCCGTTAACATATATTACAAAACATACGTTTCCTCGGATTTATTGCGCAACGACCGCAAGACGAGGTAACGTCTCGGTCATTACATCGCGTTATCTCTCAGGGGCCATATTCGTTCATGCGTGAAAACAAGCAATACGCCTTGTTTTTAGGCTAACAGCAATTCTTGTGGAGCCGAGACGTTCGCGCAGAGAGACCATGTTTCGTCCCGTGACGAGTTAGCACGTGGTCTAAACTGGCACGGCGCCAACTATCTCTAGCGTCGAGTCAATAATAGAGCGCAACGGGATGCCGCCAACAATAGACGCCGTCGACGTTGTTGTAGGTACTGGATAAAGAGCAATCCGATTCAGTTCTTTATTACAGGTTTTTTTAATAATCAAAATTGTTAAATTGCAGATCTCAAATGACATCAACAATTACTAGTACCATAACTTTCTTAAATCTATACCAGCATTAAAGAGCTAAGCTCTGTTATAAATAAACGCTGCGTAGCTAATCGCAGTTCTCACCGTGTTTTATCTCTTTACAATGTGTTTGAGCCTAAAACGAAGTTAGTATTCCTAGGATCCTTGATTTTTTTATTAATATTAGGCCTTAACAAAGTGACTGATTTTATTATTATTATTTCAACTATCACTTTTTTCGGCTTCATTCTAAAGTAAGATGTTTAGACAAAAAAAACATATATATACATATATAGTGATTGTCACGTCGAAAGAAGACAAAACCTAGATTTTGGAATAAGGATTTTTATAAAGATAAAACGTTACAAATGTCGACAACAACTAATCAGAACGACCTCATTAAACACGACGAAAGCCCGGAGAATCGACGAGTGAACGTACTATTGACATTCATGAAAATGCGAAATCGACTATAAATTCAGACGTTTCCTACAGACTTTTTTGAATCGTGGTTTTTTTATACTTTTATGATTAAGATATAACTAACTCCTATTTATCTTATACGAATTTTAAATCAGAATATTATCCGTAGTCGCTTGTGAAGATAAAATTACTTATCAAAATGTTTGATGGTATCTGCATACATTCACAAACAAGATAAGAAACAAACCCGCACTAGTGCCCGTGTCTCTAGATAACGTGAAATCAAATTTCGTGATAACCAGCCGTTGACACAATTCCTTCACTTGTGTCGTCAGCGTTACTGCAATCAAACAAATACATTCCTATATGGAATCAATTATATAACTGAACGGAAGCCCTTTTAAATAGATGGAAGCTGTATTGTTCTCGTATCGATGAAGCCCCTAAGATAACCTAATAAGATACACTATTAACTTCTTTTAAGTTTTTTCTTTATTTGTAATATAAAAATATTCAAGTTATATTGGTATATACAAATACATAATGAGTAGCAATGAGCGAAAAAACTAGTCCGGTATGAAAGCTTATTATGCCGGTATTTCTCAAAACTGTGGTTTTTTTTAAACTGGCGGTGGAGAATAAACTTTTGACATTCAACATGCACATTTTATTGACATCTTATTGAATGTCTTGCTGCTTGCTTGCTACTTGAATTTTAAAGTTAAGTTTGAAATAATTAACAAACAATAAATTTAAATAATAAAATTTTAATTTTAATTTTAGAGTCGTACGTACATGGCTTATGTAACAAGTCAGTTTTTTTGTTTTTCTGTTGTTACTTTTTGTGTATCTTTTTAGTTTGTAATGTGTATTGTGTGCCTAATAAATAAATAACATAAAACACCTGGTGTTAAGTGGTTACTGGAGCCCATAGACATCTACAACGTAAATGCGCCACCCCCCTTGAGATATAAGTTCTAAGGTCTCAGTATAGTTACAACGGCTGTCCCACCCTTCAAACCAAAACGCATTACTGCTTCACGGCAGAAATAGGCGGGGTGGTGATACCTACGCGGACTTACAAGATGTCCTACCACCAGTAAAAATAAAATAAAAATCGTTAAATAAAATCGTATGAGTACGCTTTAGGTTACGTGGTATAGAGGTTAGTGTAGTAGACTGTACTTATATTTCGCACCATTGCTTTACTTATATTCATTGAAAATTACTTACTTTAATTACTAGACAAGGATAGTGAGTGGTTGACGTCAGAGTGTACTAGAAAACATGTAGTGTAAATTGTGTTCTGACAAACAACTCGTTATTGGTACCGTTCAAAAGGCAATTGTATCGATCAATGAATTATGCAAACAGAAACACGCTTGGCAGCACACGCCGCAACCGTTGAATGTTTTAACCTTTGACTCGTAAGATTATTATGTGATCCACCCTTGACTTTTTTGGTTCCTACGGATCTTTATTTTTAAATTTCATCTTATTTCAATAACAAAACACCATAGACGTTTGGTAAAATTCAAACTCGGCTTTCAATTTAAATCAGATTTGGATTGTTTGACAAGAAATCTTTGAAATCACTGATGTCATTTAACAAACTTTTATCACGTGAATGACATTTTACTATCCCAAAAGTTTCAATATGTGCCCAGGGCTTTTTTATCTAGACGAGCCAAGGTTTACTTTATCTGGAGCGGTAGCAGATCATACTGACACCACAGCTGAAATACCTTGACACCTACTTGACACATAATATCGAAGTCTTTGGAATAATGGGTATTTCACTCTGCAAACTGGAAAACATTGTTTAAACGGGGCAGAAATAGGTGAACGGTATTCAACCATGCAGGCTAACATGATCAGTAATAAATAAATAAATTCAAGCATTCTTTTACCCATAATTATGTGTAGGTATGTATACTTAAAAAAAAGTTGCTTTATTACAAATTTCTAAATTAAATCATAACTTTGGCATACGACGCTGCCTTAGTGGAAATGCCTATATCACAATGTGCTAAATAATTTAGGATTAATATTTTTTACTATAGTAGAATTATTTTGTCCGTGCAGGTCATAAGACATAGTCCGGCTAGGGCGGTGAGCATGTTGCGCGGGCGCAACGTCATTATCGATAAAAACAAATGAGTCATCGAAGGCAGGTAAACGGTGGCAGGGTGGTAAGACATTGTTATGTTAAGAGTTATTTGTACTTACCTGCAAGTTATAGTACATTATGTCGAAGAGAAATGTGTTTTTATGCATTCGTTCTCTGAATTTCTTTAGTGACACAATGGCTACTCCTTTGTTTTGTATCAACGGCAGAATTTATTCAAAATAATATTTGCACGTGTTGTTATCAACAATGTGTTATATTTTTTTATTGAAATAAGAATAGATCCCGAAAAGTTACAAAGTGTTAATTTCTGCCGTTTTCGTTAACTTGTTGCGGTGATATGTGATGTAAGTGTTCAATTAGTGACTTTTTCTTTCATTTTTGTCATTAACCCACAAAATGACAAAACTAAACACACTATCGATAACGCTTATCGACAACAATAATGCGCATCACTTTGCCCGTCCATAAGGCTCATGAGTGAAAGAGAGAGCGAAATACTCGCTTCACCGCTCCGATTTTTTATGACCCAAACTGCACGGACAAAATAATTCTACTATAGTGGACACATGTCTGGACTGGTCAGTCATTTCTGGTTTTGTTAATCAGAAATTTTACATTTTTTCGTGGCGATTCTTCCAATTTTCCTGGCTTCAAAACATAATTCTATTCCAGCTGTTATAATTGGTGGCTTTAGCAACGAAGGGCATTTAATTTTATTTTTAGATCAATTGCAGTCCCAATGAGCTTATTATAGATTTTACAGTATTACATGGACTTTTTATGTGACCCAAACTCAACGTTCCATTTTCGTAACGAAGTATTTCCGGCTATTCTAAATTAACAAAACAGTCCGACTGAACCAGACGTAACAAAATTCTCAACTGAAAAAATTTTTTAGTGACAAAAGCCAAAAAAGTTATTTTAAAAATCACCCTATTCATTCAATTGTTTAACATTAAGATAAATTTCTTAGCAGTTCGCTATTTTGTGGCTACTTCTTTACTACTCGTACTCACCGTCGAATCATTTTTTCTCTACCAAACCACTGGTAGCCTCGAAGGGCTATTCCAGCTTCACCGATTTGGTTGGCGAGCCCACGAGAATCAGTCTGAGAGAACTTTGTAATGCTTGCCCTAGCAAGAACAGTGCTTCGCTGAATCTACCTCCGGATGGGAATCTTACAAGATAAGACGTTTAATGGAGTCCGACTTTAACTAATCCTCATCATCATCCCTCTTTCTTAATACCTTCGATGGTTGGACGAGCTCACGGCCCACCTGGCGTTAAGTGGTAATCGGAGTCCATAGACATCTACAACGTAAATGCCGCCACCCACCTCGAGACATGAGTTCTAATGTCTCAGTTTTTACAGTACAACGGCTGCCCTACCCTTCAAACCGAAACGCATTAGATACTGCTTCACAGCAGAATAGATTGTGTGGTGGTGCCTACCCGTGCGGACTCACAAGATGTCCTACCACCAGTAATTACGGAAACTATAATTTTGCGGGTTTGATTTTTATTTCACGATGTTATTCCTTCACCGTGGAAGACAATCATGAACATTTGTTAAGTACGTATGTCTTTCATTAAAAAAAATGGTACCTGCCTGCATGATTCGAACACCGTTGCATCGCTCGACACAAATGCACCAGGCGTTTTATTCTTTAGGCCACGACGACTTTAGTAGTAATAGCATTCTCTGATAATCTTAGCGAATACTGTCGTTTATTTTTGACTACAGTTTCTACGTTGTGTTGTGCCCACACAGATATAACGATATCCTGACTACCGTCAAAACTCTTATGTGTTCCGGTTTAAATACCCATGATAGACCGTTACTCCGATACAATGATGACTTTGATATCATGTGCCAACGTGTGTGGGAGACG